GCTGTTGTGTAAGAAACATTTGGAGTAACAGTTGATAACACTGTTGGACAGGAAAGCACTCAAAATACTTCTTATGCTGCACAGCCTGCCTTTGAAAACTGTCATGAGATACTATTAAATGAATGTAAATCAAAATTGTGTGCATGTGGTTTTTGTTTTTGTTTTTTAAATGATCATCAAAACATTCAGTTCATGATGAAGTTGGTCCACCACGAGTTAAGTGTTATCTTTTGTACCTCTTAAATTTGATATATATAATTCTAGGTTATTAATAATATACCTCGGGCATAATGAAACATTACCTTGACCAACATAATAAGGGAGGCTAATGGGTTGGGTTTTGCTATACAATGAGGGCTTTACAATGATGACTCATTCCATACAAAAAAAAAAACAAATTTTACATAAATAATAATGATCACATCTTGCCTCATAAAGATCAACTGGTTTTTTTTCTCTCTCTATTGAATTAGTTATGCTATCTTTAACAATGGTCCCCTGGGTGTTCTCATATTTTCCTACATTTTTTGCTCTTCTGGATGTAGTTCATAAGAAGGGAGAACTGTTTGTTTATTTATGTATCTATTGGTTTATTTATTTTACTAAATGAACTAGTTGTGGTCATATGGTTAGACTATGGTTGAAGTACATTCTTCTTAAATGTAGGTCCTCCAATGCTTAGTGTGCAAAAAAGATTTATTTTCATCGGTTAGTGGACTGATTGTTGGTAAAAGAAATAAATACGTTATTATATCTAAGACATACTTTGGTCATCTACAGAAATGTCCAATTTGGGATTGCACGCTGTCTTAAATTTCATTTCATTTCTATTTAAACTCCGATCACATTCTTACACAACATGTTGACTTTATGCATTCACAAAAATGGCATCTTAGATGAATTTTTAAAAGTACTTTTTGTTTTAGTTATTTATATATTTTACTTAAATACATTGCTGCTACCTTATTTCATTGGGAATTTTAAACTATATATATATATATACACATACATATACATACATACATCTATCCATCCGCTTCCGCTTATCCTTTTCAGGGTCGCGGGAGCCTATCCCAGCTGTCATAGGGCGAAAGGCAGGGTACACCCTGGACAGGTCGCCAGTCTGTCGCAGGGCCAACACACAGGGACAGACAACCATTCGCACTCACATTCATTCGAACATTCACACCTAGTGACAATTTGGATTATCCAATTAACCTATCCCAACAAGCTGCATATCTTTGGATGGTGGGAGGAAGCCGGAGTACCCGGAGGGAACCCACGCAAACACAGGGAGAACATGCAAACTCCACACAGAAAGACCCCGGCCTGGTGTTGGAATTGAACTCAGGACCTTCTTGCTGTGCGGCAACAGTGCTAACCACCGTGCCACCGTGCTGCCTATATATATATATTCATATATATATTCATGAGAGCAATTACCGGAGGCACCGGTAGAGTGCGGTGTTACAGGGAGATACCGGATGTGAGCACACAAACTTCAAGAGAAGGAGGAGGCGCTAACGTAGGAGTTTGTTTTACATGAAAACAAAAGTGATTGTAGAATATGTGGTAAGAAGCGGTATGTAACAGTAATTCAATAATCCGTACTAAAGTGTATTCGTATACAGGTACAGATGTGAAAACTGTTTGAGAGCGAGACTTCGCTTTTGTTTTGAAAGCACGCGCCTTTCGGTGCTAGCTACTTGCGTGCTCGTTGATGATGTGTTTAGCCTTTTTTTGTTTTATTGTAAACTTTATCGCCTAAAGGCGCCCGCGTGTGTTATTTCGGTGTACACAGGTGACGTGAGGTGTGTGTTTACCCGGGCACGATGACTACTCAGAGAGTGCTTCCTCAGAGCAAAGAGACTCTACTGCAAAACTACAACAAGAGGCTCAAAGATGACATCCGCTCCATTATGGACAACTTTACAGAAATAGTCAAGACAGCAAAGGTAACAGACATACTGTCACCTCCCTCTTTGTGTATTTTCGTGTTTTTACTACAATCAGAGCTGCTCACAACTCATTTCGTGCCTTGTTACTCGCATTTGAACATCATAATGTGGCAAAGGCGACCTGCTGAAGTTCAAAGCGAGCGCCAGTTCTCTGTGTGAAGGTGCAGTGTTAATGCCTGAAGAATGGCCAGAATATTTTAGGCTAATAGGAAGGCACTGGTAATTAAAATAACCAGTCCCTACAGTCGAGGTATGCAGAAGAGCTACAGCAGCAGAAAGTCGCACTGGACGGAACTGCTGTCAGCTAAGAGCAAGAAACTGAGGCTACAGTTTGTACATATTCACCAAAACTGTTCAACAGACGATTGTACAAACATTGCCTGGTCGGACTCTCGATTTCTGCCATGACATTTGGATGGTACGGTCAGAAGTTGGTGTAAACAACATGAAAGCATGGATCCATCCTGGTGCTGGTGGTGTAATGGTGTGGAGAATATTTTTTCTTTCCACACTTTACGTCCCTTAGTACCAGCTTAGTGTTGTTTAAATGTCACTTATTGGTTTCAAATTGGTTTACATTGATTAAGTGGACCAAATACAACACACCATTATGACGAGTATAATATTCTACCACTTATCTCTTTGTCCAGATTGAGGATGAGACACAGGTATCCCGACCTACTCAGGCAGAGCAGGACCATTATGAGATGCATGTCAGAGCAGCCAACATTGTAAGTACTGCAGAAAACGCCTGACAACACACTCGTATGCAACATATTCAGGGCTTTATTGTTATTTATTTCTGTTACCTGTGGGGAAGAAAAAATCCAAAGCTGGTTACATCTGTTTCCAAGAAAGACTCCTTTGAATGAAAGGTTAACATATTATCCATGTAATTTATCATATTACTGTAAACATGTTGATGTGTGCACTAGCACTAGTCGAAGAGTCACATCTGGGGCTGCACTTTACTGTTGCAGTATCCTTTGTATTGAAATGTTGTAGTTTGTATGTAACTGACAGACGCATTACAGCCCTGTGAATGAATTGGTTTCTACACTTAGCGAAAAATCTTTTCTGTGTAGAAATTGACATTTTAACAAGTCATCGCTATGATCATTTTCAAACCTGCTTCCCCTCTTCTATGTTTCTGTGCCAGGTACGTGCCGGCGAGTCCCTCATGAAGCTGGTCTCTGACCTGAAGCAGTTCCTAATTCTGAACGACTTCCCCTCCGTGAACGACGCCATCAGCCTGCAGAACCAGCAGCTCCGCTCACTACAGGAAGAGTGCGACAAGAAGCTCATGTCACTCCGTGACGAGATTGCCATCGACCTGTATGAGCTAGAGGAAGAATATTACTCCTCCAGGTATAAATAGGCTCATACTTGCCCCCATCCCTCATCCCATTGCGCCTCTGTCGTCCCATTCCCAGCACCGCTGTTTCACATTTCACCATTTACACTGAGCCCTGGGAAGGGCTTGTGACAGTGTCTAAACTGAGCCTTTCATCAAAATTGTTATAGGTCTTTGTAATGAACCTCATCTCACCACAAGCGCCTTTACATTGTTACTATTTAGTGCGTGCCTTGACCTTTTTAAAAGAAATCATTATAAGAGATAATTAGAGGGAGGTCTTCAGTCTTAAAGTGGCATGCCCTTAAATATCAGCACTTTGGAACCAAAAACAGTAGATTTACTGATTTTACTTCTAATGGTTAGTGCTAGATCAAATCAACTAGAAGAGACACTATAGTCTGCTGTGATTGGTTGTTTCATGGATAGGTGACTGATGAAGCTCTTGGAAAAGATCTTGTTCATATTTTCATTGTCCCTTGTGATTAGTAGGCAATTGGTTATCACCAGTCTGATTTAAAAACTACCCAATCACAGCAGAGCAACTAGTCACTGCCTAGGAACTAGTCTGCAGCGTCTGATGGCCTAGAGCAGGGGTGGGGGAACTCCACGCCTCAAGGGCTGGTGTCCTGCAGGTTTTAGATGTGCCCTTGATCCAAACAGAGCTGATATAGCCCTTGAGGCCTGGAGTTCCCCTCGCCTGGCCTAGAGAGATGTTTACCCAACATTATCTGGTAGACAGGAGAGATTCAGCATTTATAAATCTTAGTATTGAGAACTCCTTGTTCATTTATAGTAATCGAAAAAATGAAAAGAATGAACAAAGTTTATTAAAAATCTATCATTTAAAGCACTTGATTTGCTGTTGTATCCATCGATGAATTGTTGAAATTTGCTGGGTGCTACAATGAACACGTATATACATCTAAAGTCCTAAAGCTATATGGATTTATAGATATTTTTTTTCTGTGTGTAAAAGTATCATTTTAATCAATTTAAGATTATTTATATGTAGTATTTAAGTCAAATAAAGTTGTGATGGCCTTTTGTGTTATATTTTAAGGATGGTCTGTGCAGTTAAACACACACGTTTGCTGGTATTTATTTAGAGTTTCCACAATAGATGTTTTTCATTCCGTCCCTAAAATCTAAAAGGTGTAACCTTAACATCAGTGTCAGCCACAGTCGCACGGTGCAGTTGTACATGTTTACCAGTTTTTGCCCGCTGTTCCTAGAGACCCAGGATGATTAAGAAATAAAGTAGAGACAAAATGTTGAAGTAGTTTGTCTTGTTTTCTGTGATCAAGTGTTAAGAGGTGTCTCTGAGCTCTATTTGCATCATGCCAAATTGGGGTCTGCCATGCTCGGTGCACTTGCTCTGCTTTTCTGATCCATCAGCACTTGTTCTCACCCTTCTGCTGAGCTTAATCAACAGTCATCCCTCTAAATAGTAACACATGAATAAATTGCTGTTTTATGTGTAAGTTGTTTCTGGTGCTTCTGCATAACCTCTGTGCTTCTATCAAATGTGCTTTCACGTGCTCCTCTCTGAGTTGGTTGTGCTTGTTTCTGACCTGCTGCTCTCGTCTGCTCCTCTCTTTCTGTGCTGCACTGATTCTTTGCCTCCTGCTGGCTTCTGCTCTGCACAGCTACAGTCAGTGGGACAGCACTGACCTGCCTCTGTGCGAGGCCTACCGCCGTCGAGACAGTTGGGCCTCCGCGAACAGCAGCAACAGTTCTACGCACGGGGAGCGCGAGGACGTGGACGGGCCTCCATCTCAGGAGACGAACCCCCAGCACCACCTTAACGGACACGGGACCGCCTCCGTAGAAAAACCGTGAGGAGTAAAGGGGGACACCTGTCGGTTTGCTTTTGCCCAGTTTGGATCAGTTTGTTTCAGTTATAGCTTGTGAACAGTTGTTTGACTTGCTATTTTTTTGTATCGAGGACTTTAAAACTGGACTTAAACTTTGCAATGAATGGTTTCTTTTGGATTAACATATCACAAAAATAAGAGACTGTTGTATTTAACCACCTAAAATGCTTGTGTTGAGTGGTAGGCTCTTAAGTGCAACTGCTGCTTTCCAAGATCTGCATCAAGCCTAGTTACAAACTAGAAGATATATTTGATAAAGAACTCCACTGTAAAAAGTCTAGACTTGAATCACGTTCAGTAAAAGAAGTAAAAGAAAATGAAGACAACTTTAAACTCACCTTTGAAACTCAAGTACTTTTTTATATTCCTGTGTTAGACTTTGCATTAAATGTATTTTATTTTTTTTAAGAATGGCATTGGTTTACTTTTGTCTGTTTAATTTAACTGCACATCAGATTAAATCAAATATTACAATATTTTTGGTTCTTTTTTTATTTATTTTTCTGAAATCTTTAAACACAAATCTACAGCTAAACATGTAACAGTGGACACTTAAAAAGGGAAAAGTCACCGATTTAAAAAAAAAAAAAAAAAAATCCTGACCAGTTTAAGACCAGAATCTGCATCCTTAACATATTCCTGTCTTTTAAACTTAAGACAATCCTGAGCAAAAGAAATCATCTGAGACATTAACAACTGTACTGTATACAGACAAACAGCAGGAGCTATATACAATAATTACACTGTGTGGCCCTGATGTTAGAGCTATGCCATCAAAAGCCGTTTGGGATCCTCAAATGATTTATGGTCCAATCTTGAGTTTAAAATGGTTTTATATATATCCACATCAATATCGTCGATTCATCTTCTTGAACTTCTCATAGTGGTAGTCATCTGTAGCCTTCTCATTGTTTGGACGTTTGCGGTAGTTTGGTGGTGACGGAGCTGTGGATGAACAAATAAGTTAGAAATCAGATTAAAGGTTTCAAAAAGATTTTCAATAAATCCCCACACAGACACACAAGCAAATGGGGGATACCATTGAAAGTAAATTAAATGCAATGATTGTAATACAGTTTGTATCTAGCTTGGATAAAAAGAAGAAAATCCTGAAACTGAGAAATATTTTTGGAAATGCACAAGTGACAGTGACTTAAAACAAGAGTTTCACATTCTGAAAGGTCTGGCCCACAGGACAGTTTTCCACTTCAACTTAGACTTTATTCAATTTTGAGTTGGCAATGTTTTTGAAGTGTTTGAGTCTATGCAGTCATTCCTACTACAGATTCATGCCTGTTTTTAATTTACTGCTTCATGAGGGTCTCAAGGTCACAGCCTTCTCCCTTCGTGTGCAGAGATTTCTCTTGATTCTGTGAAATTATTGTCATTATGAGTAGAGATGGCACGATACCACTTTTTAATGTCCGATATCATAAATTTGGATATCTGCCGATACCGATATGAATCCGATATAGCATATTTTGTAATCAATAAAACTGTTTTTTATAAATATCTTGCTGCATTTTGTATAAGTTCATACTCAAGTTTTAAAAAAAGACACTGAAGCTATTCTGTTATACCTGTATGCAAAAAATACACTCCACCCAAAACATTTTATAGTTCAGCAACACTGATCAATCTAATAAATTTAAACCAACACCATCCTCCCTATTCCGGTATTTTAAAGAGTACTTACCTACCTACCTAACTACTAGGGTTACCAACTCCCAGCAAAAATATTAGGGAACCACCCCCCCTCCCTTAATCGATGTAATCAACTTTAATTTAATGCAAGTGTAAAACACTTGTTAATGCCCAGCATGGCCCCCGACAGGTCTCGCAGACAATAGCCGCTCTATCACGTGACATATACTGCTCCGACGCACCGAGCTGGGTTACGCCAAGTAGCGCGTTTTGTGAGATGATTTTGTGATACTTCGGATCGGATTACATTTTTTATTTCTCTCCGATATCTGATCCAGTAATTTAGGTCAGTATCGGACCGATACCGATACGTAATATCGGATCGGTCCATCTCTAATTATGAGATGATAAAATCTCCAAATCGCTAAGATAATTTTCAGAAAACTTGACCTCTGACCTTGATCTCAAAGTCACAAAGCCGAGTGTCCATACTGCCTGCTCGCCGGGGTGATTCCACCCACCCATTTTCTTTTGTTTATCCAACTGTTATAGAACTATTTCTGTGTACTCAGCAGTGAGCGTATCTGTAGTCTCTTACCCTCTGGACCTGGTTTCTCTGTGTCGCCCACACGCAGCGGTCTTGCTTTGGGTTCTTCTTTGTGTCTGTGGTGTCTCTGCGGTGCATTTGCATCCTCATGATAGACTGAAAGAAAAAGTCAGCTTGATCAGTATAATCCGCTTTAATTTAGGTGTGGAATATCTCGCTCTCTTCAGATTACTTACATCGATTGTGTTGGACGTAGTTAACAGCGATGTTCGTGGGTACAAATGATGTGCCGTGGTCTTTTTTCTTGTTTCTTTGTTCTGCCAAAAGCTTTGCTTTTGCCTCCTCTGTCTGGATAATGTTCTTTATCTTTGCACTAGAAAAGAAATTACATACACAAGTTGCATTAGTAAAGCTACAAGTAAAAAGCAGCATTCGTTCGTGCCATATCTCATGCAAAAATGCAGTTTTAGTCAAAAGACTCCTCTTGCTGAGTCTAAAATAAGTGTAGATGATTACTAGAATATTCTCGGTACATACTCAATGCCGAGATCAACTTCAGGGATGCCACTCAGCATCTGATTAGACAACATCTCCTCTGTCTTCTTGGCAGAATTGACTCGGATGTTCTCGGGCAGCTCGTACAGGTGGTCCTCTGGATTCTTCACTTTAACTTTATGCTCCTCAGCCTCCACCAGGCCCTTCTTCTTTTTTAGTTCCGTCTCAATATATTTCATCCTGTGAGGATAAATTTATGATAAAACCATGTTGTAAACAAGTGTGAGGGTATCTCGAATTGTGTCCTAAATGTTGGGGATTTGAAATGTCTCTTCTAAGTAATGTGTGCTATATCTAACTAAAGTGGAGGGAAAAGAATCAGACATTGGGACAACAAAAAAGAAAAAGAAAAAGCACACATACATATCTGCATCCTCGTCTCTTCTGTTTGTCTCGGCTGAAAAAGACGTCCCCAGGTTGAGGTCTGTCTCATCTTCTGTCCTGAATACATAACATGAAATGATGACATATCAATGCACAGCTTAGAGCAATTATGCTAAAAATAGTTAAAAACTCACTTACATGTCTCTATTCCGGTCTTTCACTTTCTTCATGTCAACAATTCCCCCAGTCTTCAGTTTAAATGGGTCATTCTGTGAGGAATAATCAAATAATGTTAATAAACGTAAGTTCAAAAAACAAAACACCTTGGTTAATGAAGCTATATTACAATTTAAATATATATTATATATACATATATATATATATATATATATATATATATATATATATATATATATATAGGGGTGCAACGATATTCGTATCGATATTGAACCGTTCGATACAGTGCTTTCGGTTCGGTACGCATATGTATCGAACAATACAACATTTGTAATTTATTTTATCAATTTTCCTTCTGACGATGCTGTCTGTGTTGAGCGCTCAGTGAATCTGTGTTCGACTACTCCGCCTAGGCTGCACTGTCGAGCGCAGATCCACTGAGCGCTCAACACAGACAGCATAGTCAGAAGGAAGAGCGCAGGGCAAGCTAGCGAGACAGAAGTTAAGCTCTGCTTGCAACAAGCAAATTGAACCTCATTCAGATCTGGCGTTTGGAATTATTTTGGTTTTCATGTGACTATGACCCTGAAGGTAAGCGAGTCATGGACTAAAGTAAAACAGTATGTTGGATGTGCCACGCAATGCTTAATTACATTGGTGTGAACTAGTGTGTTAGCGCGTTAGCTCGTTAACGTGTTGGCCGTCTAGCCCCATGCACGGAGCGATCGGCGGTAGCTCGTTAACGGAGATTTGCCGTGTTGTGGCGTTAAGGTCATTTCAACGAGATTAACCTGAAAGCACTAGTGGGAACACAACAAATATGACTGCACATTTACGCCGACATCATCCTAGTGCAATGACAAAAACAACAAGCATGCTACTAACTTTAGCCGAGTCATTTAGACAGCTGTTAGCACATGATTCTCCTTATGCTGCTGAGAATATAGCCCAGAAGAAGCGGATAGTATAGCTTTTATTTTGGAAAGAGACATTTCTCTGTAATAAACTCTCTTTTCCAAAGATGAGTGATTCCTCAATCAGATACAGGGCTTGCAATATCGCTAGCCCGACGTCCCGGAGCTAGCGATTTTTTCAGTCGGGCTACCAAAATCTATCTCTTCCCTGCCCGTCGGGCTATTGTACGAAAAATATATGTCAATGCTTTTGCATTCTTTCAGAAATGTAGCTGGGTAATTATGTCATTGGCATCGGTGAGCCACTGTCAATATGTGACATATTGAAATCGCGTTTGAATTTGCGCTTGTTTTTTTGCTTTCGTGCGAACTGTGTATAGAGAGCGACAGCACTGATCTGTGAGTGATGATAATTTGTGCACCAATTCCTCTGACATCGTCTTATTAATCGTTAGCTTACTATGCAAACATGACAAGTGAAATCTCCCGCAGCTTAAACATGTGAGAGGTTGATCGCGCAGAGAATCGCTGAGCTTATGTGAGTGAGTGTGTAAAAGCATTTCAGTTCTGCTGAGCCAAATAAGACAGGTCAGGGTGAAGAAGTGACAGCCAAAGAAAAGCTTACCACAAAACGGAGAAGTTATGACAAATCAGACTATAAGGCAAAAAGAAAGTGCAGCTTTATGGTTTCATGGACAAAAGAATTTCTGTGGCTGCAATATGACGAGCTAAATAACCAGGGCTGCACATAAGTGGTCCGCAGGTGCGCATTCGCTGTCAAAATAAAAAACGCGCACAAGGGTTAGGGTTAAATTTAAAAACTGTACTTTTGAGTTAAAATATATATTTATAATTTTAATAAATGACAAATTAAAAAGTGCATGAACATTTTTTTGTATCGAAAAAATATCGAACCGTGACACCAAAGTATCGAACCGAACCGAACCGTGAATTTTGTGTATCGTTGCACCCCTAATATATATATATATATATATTACAAAACTGACTACCTACCTCAATTTCAGCCTCTGGTGGAAGTTTTTCTCCAACCAGCAAGGCGGTCACACTAAATAAAAGAAATATTAAAAAAAACTGTGATTCAGTATTTAACTGCTCAAACCACAGACTGTAAAACTTCATGTAAAGTAACAGGATGAAACGTGTTCGTGGTTTGATTTATTTACGTTACCTGATTCCGGTCTGTCGTTTGCGCAAACTCTGTAGCTCTTTAGCCTCTTCCAACTTATGTCTAAACATCCATGAAACACAAACGATTGCAAACACATTACCTGGACAGCTTATATGAAATGTGACAACAAACTATCTGCGTTTAGCGATTAGCATTAGCATGCATAGCATTACTCTAAAGGGCTTTTTTTTTATTCCTGTGGTTAAACGGATGGCTCTACCTGACTTCTTCGGTGGTCTCATCCTCCTCCACATCGGACGAGTCCCTTCTCCTTCTAAAATTTTTGCCACACGGCATTTTTTTAGATACAACACAAAATTATTTCAGAGTTTTCTAGAAGCTGGACTTGAGTGTAGCTGCTGCTGGAATAAGAGAGGGGACGAACAAATGTACAATAATAGTGCGTCACGTCCCCTTATTTACCGCGCCACTTCCGTCGTGTATAGCTAACCATAACAAACATGGCGACTTACAGGCAGGTCGGCAGATTGTTGGGTATTTCAGCAAGACTTTCTCGTCTGTAAGTTGTTTTGTATTTATCTATATCTGCATTGTTTTCTGGTTTTGCTTTATTTCATGTGTGCATGAATGTATCGGCATGTTAAGCATCAGGGTCAGGCAGGCTAACGGTAGCACGCTGGCTAAACGGCGGAGTGACGCAGTCAGCTACAGAGCAGGGAGGTGTGGGGATGTTTTACTGCTTTAAACGTCTCCACCATGCAGCCGCTTATTAACACTTTAAAGTCGTCAGTATCAACCACAATAAACCTTTGCAAACTTAAAAAATATTTTTTTTGTTTTTGTTGCATAAGTGCTAAAACTTTAGCCCGATTCTAATCTGCTTTTTCTGGATTATCCCGAGTTGTACACAGGGACACGTTACTCTCGACAGTTCATATCCATAAGTTATTGCAGTTATTATAGTTAACAAAAATATTACAGGTTTTAGTATCGCTTAGCTTGGTTTAAAAAAAATTAAACTGCCTTATCAGGCTTTCGTAGATATATTTATTTACACCTAAGAAGTTTAGTAAAATCAGTGCAGTTATAAATCTTGCCTCCGACTTATGCCCTTAATTCAATAAGTGATTAAAAAAACAAAAAACAATCTGCACTCACTCTGTAAACTAACTCAAACAAAACTGGATTAAAACATCAAAACAAAATATAAATAACAATTAATTACAAAAGGCAAAATTAAAATAACTTTCCATAAAAGACAATATCTCACAATTACTCTGTTTCTGCTGGTGTTTCTACGGTCTTATACACTCAGACACGTCATTACAAACGTCTTTCTAGTACTGGGTTGGACCCCCTTTGCCTGAAGAACTGCCTCAATTCTTCATGACATGACCAAAATGGTTGAGGAGTTAAGGCAATGTGAAGTTCACTTGGTAAAATTTAGGCCCTTTTTTTTGTTTGTTTGTTTTTTACCTTGTGAATTTCCTGTGCTACCATGATAAATTAAGTATCCCATGAAGCCTGTTTTCTCCTTCATCTGGAACCATTTGAATTATGTCTTTAGCAAAAACGGAAACAGTTACTGTCATTTAAAGAGCATTTGTAAATAAAGGGTTAAAGAAGCAAGCCATTATAACCACTTTCACAAAGGGATGTACATGGTGAGCAGCATGTCATTCCACGCATTCACAATTTATCCTCAGATGGAAATAAGGGGCTCAAAGTATACAAAAAAAAAAAATCTGCACGATTGCTACACAACCTGAAGCCTAAACCATTGATACAAGGCAGGATGGAGCCATGACAAATCTGACCGTACTATCCAAACATCGCTGCAGAAATTGAAATTCATCCCGAATGTACAGATCAACTGTAATCTTTTTCTTTTTGTTTTGTTTATATGTATTAAAGAAAAATTCTTAATAAAAAGATATTGTTTAAAAAAAGAAATTGAAATTCATGAGACCAGGCAACGATTTTTCAGTGGTCCATTTTCCAATTTTTGGTTAATCCTGTTTATTGTTCTTAGCAGACAGGAGTGCCACACAGTGTGGTCTTCTGCTGCTGTAGCCCATCTGTTTCAAGCTTCAATGTGTCTTGCATTTGGATAAGGTCTTCTGTTGTAATAAGTTGTTATTTGCGTTTGAATTTGTATCAGGTTCATTCTCATTTGACCTCTGACCTTAACAATGTGCTTTAGCCCAGAGAACCATTGTTCACCAGATATTTTCTCTCTTTATGACAATTCTCTTTAAACACTGAAGATGGTTGTTTGGGAAAATCCCAGCAGATCAGCAGGTTCAGGCAAATCTAACACCAAATAAAAGTAACAGACAGATTTCTGCTGTTGTCCACTTTCCTTGCATATCATATACAGTGCCATTTTTGCCTGTAATTGTATAGTGTATGTCTGTGTTTTCTATTTTGTAATTCAAATGTCTTGTAAAAATAAATACATTTTTAGTTATCAGTGAAATGATATAGACAGTTCTTTCTCCTTGGCTAAAGTAAGACAAATACTGATTGCACAGTGTATCGTTTTAAGCTCTGCATGACCCCTTTGGTTGTTTTACGTGTTGCCTTATGCAACAGTTTGTAATACAGTTTTGTACAAACACTGTGCACCAAATCATTTTAGTGGATTAGTCTCACCACACCTTCATGTTTTGAAATCATTATTTCACCGCTCCAGAGAGGAAGGCATTCGATGAAGTGAGCTGGCACGGGTGCTTGACATTTTGATTTCTAACACCATTCATTTATCAGTGTGAGCTGCGCTGTATTAAATTTCTTCATCTGCTGCATTTTTCAGTCTTGCTGTCAGTGGGTTTCAGAGCACTGGATTACACTTGCCTTCACATACCACAGGAGTTTCAAACAGATGGCCCTCAAACCCCATCTGGATTGTTCCTGGTTTGTATTCAGAATAATCACATGTGTAACATTGAATGTGTTAATACTGGAGTGATTGTCTTGAACCCAATAGATGCAGCTGCTGTTTGAGCAGGTGCCTGTAGGACACGTGACATTAGCCTTGCAGTTCAATAAAGTAAAGAGTTGCTGCACAAAATAAGGACACCGTCTAATGAAAAAAGGTGATTTATGTTGCATTCTTCTTCTTCTTTGTTTTTTCTATTCCCAGGAAGGACCATGTTTGTGCAGACGCAGGATACACCAAATCCAAACAGCATGAAGTTCCTGCCTGGCCGGACAGTTCTTGAAACAGGAACTATGAATTTTGCGGGCCCTCGTGAGGCACACTGCTCACCTCTAGCCAGGTATGTGAGATTACTGGTCTGAAAGAAATGCCTGATGTCAAACAGTCATCTTAGCATAACAGATGTAGGTAGATGAGTTTTAATACATGCGGTCAGTGCGGTGGACAGTGCACATGACAGGTGAAATAACTGACTGGGTGGAGTGGATGGAGATGAGTGTCAGGGGTGATTTGTGACAGAGGAAAAGCAGCAAGAGTGAATGAGACATTTTACAAGATAGTAGTGAGACCTGCTATGATGTATAATTTGGAGACAGTGACCCTGACAAAAAACAAACAAACAAAAAAATAGAGATGACAGAGTTGAAGATGCTAAATATTTTATTTAGAGTGACCAGGATGGACAGGATCAGAATGAGCATGTCAGAGGGACAGCTCAGGTTGAGCAGTTTAAACACAAAGTTGGAGAGCCAGGCAAGGCTGAGATGGTCTGTGCAGAGAAGGGTTAGGGAAGTGAGATGTGCAGAGAAGTGATGGTGGATATGCTGCACAAAGGGTGTTGAATATACAGCTTCCAGGCGGGAGGAAAATAGGTGGACCTCCAGAGAAGGTTGGTGGATGTCATGTAGGAGGACATTAGTGTGACAGTGGAGAACGATGGAGATGGAGTGACTTGGAGGCAGATGATCCACTGTGGAGCAGCCAGAAGAAGAATGGATTAATAGTTTGACTTCTGCTAGTCACATGACAAGGTTGATTTACCAGTACATGCCTTGTTGGTAGGGCAGTAACCAAGGCAACATTTATTCTTACCAAATATAAAAAAGGTGTAACCTCTGATACGCACAGAAACAGTAGACCTCTCTTCTCACAGCCCAGCACGCTGCTGATTCACGTCCTCAGTGTAACACTTTTACCTCTACTTGATCTGTGTGACACTGCGGTGCAACAATTTTGAACAGAAATATTATTTTCTAATTCTATTCCCATTAAAATATTATGTTAATAAATGTGACTGATACCTGCACACAATTTGCACGTCTATATGTGTGTATTTATTTGTTACAATCATTGCTCAACCTTCTGTATTAAGTGTAAGATGAATCTTTAAGTGTGGCGTAATAAAACCTCAGTGATTGTCTTCAGGCAGCTTTTTAGGATCGATGGAGTCAAGAGTGTGTTCCTGGGCCCTGACTTTATTACCATCACAAAGGTAAAGCCATGCCCAGTTTGTAAGAATTGGCACTGGCACAGCTTGGCATACCACAACTAAGAATAGGTTGGTTTCTCATCCTTCTTCGTTTAGGCTGACCCAAATTTGGAATGGAAGGTAATTAAGCCTGATGTGTTTGCTACCATTATGGACTTTTTTACCTCCGGGCTTCCTGTTGTAAACGAGGACAGCCAGCCAAGCCCAGATACAGGTATGGTTTTCAAACAGCTGTGGCCTACCCATTATTAAAACATCAACTTAGACAGAAATAACAAGCTGCTTTGAATGCTGAGGAACAACAATCTCTGCCTCTCCTTTCAGCACCGTCAGACGACGACGACGAGGTAGTTGCTATGATTAAAGAACTACTAGAGACTCGAATAAGGTAACTACTCATGAAGGTGCACAATGAATGTTGCTTCCTATGATTTTGGGGTTTTTTGCCTAATACAAGTCAATGTTCTCACTCTGTCAGGCCAACTGTGCAAGAGGACGGGGGAGATGTTCTATACCGCGGATTTGAAGATGGTATTGTTAAACTGAAGCTGCAGGGCTCTTGCACCAGTTGCCCCAGTTCAATTGTGACTTTGAAGAGTGGCATCCAAAACATGCTACAGTTTTATGTACCTGAGGTTGAATCGGTGGAACAGGTTTGTTGTCTTTCTCTCATTTGATTTTAGGACACTGTTAATTTTTAAGATGTTAATCCTGACATCTTGATTTATATTTCATGTTCAGCACTTGAGCTGTAAAGAGCTTTTATGCGTGTCTTCCAGGTGAAGGAGGAGGAGGAGGCTGCTCAAGTCTGAACCACTGAAATCATACACATTCCTGTCTCTACCAGCTACCGACTTTAATGCAAGCAATAGTTGCAATAAAATGTGTTTGATAGCACAGCTGTGTGAAAGAAACAGTCACCATTATCAATTCAGATGTAATCTCGTATGTGTTGTTTCCCAGCTGTTTGTTTTTTTTGTACAGTGACAGTATTTAACAAGAATAGCCCAGTC